TTCTAAATTGTTCTAGTCAAACCTTATTGCTTTTATGAAAGCAAAATATACTGGCATCAGGCAACTTTTCCCACAAAACTTCCTGTGCACCTTAACCCCCAACTGAAGCCGTGTCTATTCCTCCACTTGTAAGCTTCTAAATGGAGATGAACAGTCGTCGCTGTGATCAGATATGTTCACCATCCTGGACTGTGAATGCCATCACTTCCATTTGCAATGTGAGTCTCCTCTACAAATGGTAACTAGAAGATGGCCAGCCATGCCACCGCCATCAGTCTGAGCTGTTATTTAGGAATGGCATGTATCAGTCCGTGTGACCCACGTCCAAGAAACACACCAGGAGGGTCATATTTCATAGGTGATAACTCAGAATATTGGCAGTATAGGATGGCAGGTCTTGCTCGTGACCATAGAATTCTCTGTGGAGGTTACCGTTAAACAGGCATTCCATCTTAACGTTCAGTATTTTGAAGATGGTGGCTGGCTTTTGTGAGCGCCCGTCCCAGAACTTACTGGCATCTTGCTTTTGGTCATCTTACAAAAATGTCGGGTTTCAATTTAATACTTGACGTTCCTGTTTTTCATCTGAGGATCTCAGTGCTGTCACAGTAGCGAGAATCTTCTCCATTAAGCAGAGTGGCGATCCAAGCATCCCGGAGCTTGCCCGGTATTTCTCCTCACAGTGGTGGAATCAATTGAATAGAAATTTGCTGTGCTTAGTCCAAGTCTTCTGCTCTAACAGCAGACATGCAGCCTCTCAATGCACTGGACACGCACAGATTAAAACAAATCTGTTATGTAATTGGAGGGTAGCCGGGACCTATTCTTCCATAAAGTGACATCTAATAGTCTGTTTAAAATATGCAGTAATAAGCATGTAAAATGTATTGAGCTCTTCTCTTCTCTCCCCATTCTCTCCCCCCGCCCTCCAATGGCTTAACTGAATTTAAAATGTGCTTTATTGGCTGGGGGTGAAGTGTGTAGGAGATGTTGTTCTCCATTTAAAAGTGAATTATCTCTCTCTCTAAGAGAAGCAAAGAGTACTTGTTAAGGTCATCCTGAAAGCATCATCACTAAAAATTATCTGCTGATGCAGAAAATTAGATTTATTCTTATGTTAGCATTTCCATAAAAATACAATTATATAAAAATTTATATTCTCTAAAAGCTTGTAGTAAACTAGGCTTTCAGAAAAATAGGACACTTATCTTTTGAAGTCCAGTTTCAAATGGCCAGATGGTGCTTCCAGTATGGAAGCATAAATTTAGTGAGGTGATTCATTGTTTCTGTTTTTTAAAAAAAGGCAACCTGAGCTAAGCACCATGTTGCTCAGTCTCACTCATGCATATTTGTCTGTCACGGAAGCCACGGTCATTGCTGCAGCGTTCCAGTTAGTCCCCTTCAATCGATTCAGACAGTTGTGTTTGTAGTGAGAAGCATGTGTAGCCGTTGCTTTGCCTTCGAAATGTAACCACCAGCTCTGCCCAGTCAGTTGTGTTTCAAAGAACATCAGGCGCTTACTTGCTTGTTTCACTGGGTCTTCCTTTAGGTTCTTCCTGCAGCTGCCCAAAACCAGTATATCGCACCAGGATTTTATACCGTTATAGCATTTGTTAAAATGTTGGAGGTCAAACGTTGTCTCAGTTCAGAAATAAATTTTAGAACCTGCAAGCTGTTTTTCATATTCCTCGATTGCAATTAAATAGATACAATTTGTGCCACTAGATACAAGAAATCTTATGGTTGTCCTCATACCATCGTACTGCAGATCTCTGGCTGGGAGTGGGTCTGTCTTTAGAACACCAGTCTGCTAAGGGGTAGAAAGCCTGCGAAGGAAGGTTGCATACAGTAAGATTCTTGAAATGGTAACTGTTCTTGGCCAAGCTGGGGCTCTTGTACATTTCAAAGGAGGAATGTGGAACTCCTTGTGCAGCATTTGCTTATCGGATAGTTGACTAGCCTTTAGCATCCCTAGTCAGTCCCCACCTCTACCCCATCATTTCCGACTGCTTCTCAGTTATGTAGCGATGCCTCACCTCCATATTGAATTCTGCGTGAGAGTAGCCCTAAGACATTTATAAAAGCATCTCGTCCAAGCATGGTAAAGGCAGCTCTTGGAGCACCACACTAAACAAAAGCTCAGCTCTGTCTTTCACAGCCAGATCACGTCGTTAAATGTTTAATCTTTGGGCATTCTTTGGCATCAACTCAGGAGACGTTTCAAAAGGGAAAGGTGTTGAGATGAAGGATATATGTGAATTAAGCTTTTGATTAAGCTCCTTGGTGAAGAAGAATCCAGGTATTAGAAACAGTAATCTGCAACACATTACATAATTCAGTGAGTTTTTTAAAAATATTCCTGTGTTTTCCTTGTGGTGCCATGATTTTTGCTTCACTCTTGAGTAAAACTAGATTTTCATGACAGTATGCTTTTAAAATTAAAATGTATTCTAATTATTCCTCTATTTCGCAGTCTGGGGTCATCTGATGTGTTCTTTCAACTAGGGATGCTAAATAGCGTTTAATCAGCTAATCGACTAGTTGGAATTTTCATCGACTAGTTGATGGGGTGGGTGGCGGGAGACTGCAGAGCCGCAGCAGGGTTAGCTCCCGGCCCTGAGAGCTATCCCCACTGAGTCTCTGCCTTTTAAATGTGTTAAGAACTGTCAGGCTCTTAATACATTCAAAAAGCACAAGTGCAGCAGGGGGAACCGGGCCGGGCTTGTGCCCAATCCCCCGGCCAACACCTCTGTGTGTCCTCCCCCCCGCAGAGATGGTGCTGCGCGGGGGAAGAGGGGAGACTGGCTTTTAAGCCGGCTCCACTTAGCACCAGAGCTGGATCCTGCTCGCCCTCCACCCCGCTGCCTCTCTTGATAGAGGCAGCAAGGGGAGAGGGGAAGCAACACTAGTCAACTACCCAATAAGCATATGCTTATCGGATAGTCAACTAGTCATGTACATCCCTGCTTTTCAATATGATCTTTCACCTCCTGTAATGTAGAGTGCGGAGGGGGGGAATTTTGGGCAAGAAACTTGTAAGAGGATGTGGGACCTTTGCTATGAGAGAAACCTTTCCAGCTAATGTTTCCTTTGTTCTTAGTAACCCTGTGGAAACTTTGTACAAGAAGTCTGGCCCCAAATCACATCAGTTAGGGCTCTCATCCCCTGGGACATTCTCACATTTTCCTAGTTCTGTTCAAACTTTATAAAGGTCTCTTCACTCCCTGGTGGGCCGCTAGAGTTGTTTGGCATCCTTCCCAGCCTGAGGTCTGCTTTGAATAGGGACTCGTTAGCACTGCATATTCCAGTTGTCTGCCTGCTCTAGTAATAAAATGTAATTCTGAAACCCATATTTGAGCCATTTAAACTTAAAGAATTGATCTAGGCTTGAATGTCAAGTTCCGCACCAGAACAAATTCATATATTTCCTGTTGTTTTTGTTCTTTTACATGAAAACCCTTTTTTATCAATGTCTGAACACTTTAAAAAAAGTACTTACAAGCATTAGCCACTAACAACTCAAAAGCATCCGTGAAGAAAGCAATGGTTGCGTTTTAGCCTTTGAAATAAGGCAGTTTAAAATGAGCAGCAGTGACTTTAAATACAAATTTCACTCACTCTCTTCTCCGAATACTTGCAAGTCAGCAAGTGTGCCAGCCTGTCACAGGACTCCAAAGCACAAAGATTTTTTTTTTAAACACCAATTAAAACTTTTGGTGACGTCTCATTTCAACTAAAGCAGAGCAAATCCAAGTTTAGAACTTGGTCTTTCGTTTGTCAGAAGCTTCAGGCTCTTAGAGAGTTTTATGTGTATTGTTAGAGTCTAACATATTACTGTGTCTATTACTTGTCTAAGCTTTAAAATGTAGGCGTAGTTCCTCCCTCTTCTTCTTTCTGGAATTGGAGTAGAAATGATTCATCATGTCACACTTGGTAGTGACTGTACTTTCCGTGACTTCTCTGTGTGTGCTGCAGAGCGGTTGCTATGATTAGTGCTCTTTTGCAGCTCTAGCTGCCTGCTGCTCAGCATTTCATTGCTAGATTTATGATTTTTTACTTGAAAATATACTGTGGCTCTAAAGATTACTGCTAGTTCTGGCATGTCCTGCTCATGCTGCACAAGAAAAATGTGTTGATGGATGCCTTTCAGTTATAGTCCGGAGTTGATGTGCACTACTAATCAGTAAGTTCATGTTGAGATTTGTTTGGAGGGAGGTGACCTGTAGCAGTGGTTCTCAAACATTTTGGTGTGCAGCCCACTCCCCTCAATGCAAACCTTCCCATGGACCTCCAGCTAACCATCCATGATGACAAAATGGGTGTAGGAGAAGGTGGATGTGAGGTCTGGATGGGAGGGAGGGTGCAGGAATGAGCTGGGGGTGAGGGTTTTGGGCAGGAGGCAGGGTGCAAGAGTGGGCTGGTTGTGGAGGTGGGGGGCTCTGGGCTGGAGTGGAGGGTTCAGGAGTGGGCTGGAGGTAGGGGGACCTGGGCCTCCCCCAGCTGCCTCCAGGCACCATCCCCCACTGCTCCCATTGGCCAGGATTCTCGCCAATGGGAGCAGCAGGGAAAGCCTCCAGGCGAGAGGTTTCCTGTACTACCATTCCCCCAGCTGGAGAGTGGGGAAACGGCAGCACATGGCGTCTCTTCCTGCCCCCGCAAGCTAGTTCTAGCCTGCGAGGCTTGGGGCCCCCCTCCTGCAGCAGGAAGTAGATTCTGGTGGGGAGGAGGTGGATGCGGGCTGGAGCCTAGCCCTGCTGCGAATCAGAGGGGGCAAGCCCTGAGCCCGTGGCCCACCTGCAAGATGGTTGCGGACCATACTTTTTGAGAGCCACTGACTGAGAGGGATCTTGACGAATGCCCCGTTATACGGTGCTGCTAATTGAGTCCTGCCTGCCCTGCGTGCAACCCCGCTGCATAAAAGGCGTCCGTCAGAGCTGCTAGTTCCTTTGTTCCCATCTGCGCCACGTTTATACTTGAGGACGTCTCCTTATGTTTTGTAGGTATGGTGTGAATATGCGTTGCTTGGCAGCTCGGGTCAACTATAAGACTTTGATCATCATCTGCACTCTCTTCACGCTGGTCACGGTCCTGCTGTGGAATAGATGCTCCAGTGATAAGAGTGTTCCGTTTCCACGACACCTGGACAGCGGCTTCCGAGCAGACGGATTGGAAAAGCGAATAGCTGCTTCTGAAAGTAACAACTATGTCAACAGCCTAGCGAAGCAGCAGAGCGAGGAGGCCTCGCCCCAGGAGCAACAGAAAGCACCTCCAGTCGTCGGAGGGTTCAATAGCAACGGAAACAAAATTTTGGGACTCAAATATGAAGAAATTGACTGTCTGGTCAATGATGAGCATACAATTAAAGGGCGGAGGGAGGGCAATGAGGTGTTTCTGCCATTCTCTTGGGTGGAGAAGTACTTTGAGGTTTATGGGAAAATTGCCCAGTATGATGGCTATGACAGATTTGAGTTCTCTCATAGCTACTCCAAGGTGTATGCACAGAGAGCGCCTTACCACCCTGATGGAGTATTCATGTCCTTTGAGGGCTACAACGTAGAGGTTCGAGACAGAGTGAAGTGCATAAGTGGTGTTGAAGGTAGGTGGTGAATGTATTTTTACAACTGAAATAATTTGAAAATTGACACACTATAATTTGAAATTCGTAGTGTTTGAATGGGAATGAGACTGTCAGTTATGACCCACAAGTTTATTCTAGTTTGTTCCTTTTACTATTCCTCCTTGCATCTCTCATTCTGGTTTGTAGCCGACATCTGCAGTGCTAGCAAGTGCACTCGGGTGCTTCCTGAACACCCAGGGAGGGGGATGATAAACAGTAGAGCCATGCAGCTGCCTATGGCTAAACTGTCTATTGGTATTTTCTGTATGTTGTATTTAATACGTTCAAATTGTCTATGAGAATGTCATGCTTTTCTGGGTAATTACAGGAGAGATTTCGAAGAACAGTGTGCGTTGAGTGGGAAGGCACTTAAGCCATTAAAGCTTCATGTCGTAAGACCGAATAAAATTACAGTACAGTACAGCAGAACTTTTCTAATTTGCAATTTGCTGAGCCATGCAATCGATAATTCGTACACAAACAGCTCTTTCCACTTCATAGGAAAGATTTAATAGCAGAAAACTCCAGCAAGATCTCATAACTAAGAATTAATTACTTTTACAAAGCATACTATAGAAAACTTACTGGCATACTGTCACATACTATAAATAACTAAAACTAAACTGCACTTGTGAAATAAATGAACAAAGTGCATTAATGTGCTGATGTATTCTTGAGTTTTCCCTAACAATAATTAACTTGCTGGTGTCATTTGTGATGTTACGCTGTATGCTAGTAGCAACTGGACTTGCAGTGTAGGGCCACTTCTAAACCCCTGCACATCAGAAGATTAGTTTATTTTGAAAGATACAGGAATGAATGACCCATGACTGAATTACATGTGATAGCATGTGCTGTGATCCTTCCAGGTTATATGTTTATCTGCCCACTACTTTAGGTATCAAACAAGCAAATTTTATTACATCTTTCTTCTCGGTCGATATATTATATTTTTAGTCTCTGGAATATACTTCAAAAAAATAAGATGCCCCATCAAAACACATTCCTAAAAACTACTCTTTAATGGACATGGTGTTAAAATATCCCTTCCACACTATTGAATTCAGTTCTTTACACGAGTGTCCTTTCCTGGGTTCCATTTTGGATTCACTGAAGCTGCTTTTAAAAAAATTCACCTTAGCTTAATGTTGAGCATTTTCCAGATGACATCCGAGCTCTAATATCTTAAAATGAAGAGGTATTCTCCCATTACTAAACTGCCACCTTGCTCTGTAATGGATGGAAAGAGAGGGGGGGAGGAAATGTTGTGCCCTACAAGAAAGGGGCTACCACTTCTACCACATGTCCTGATTCAGTTGAGTTGCAAGGTGGCCTAGGTCTGAATGGAGGCTCTTCTTTCCCCGAAGGGCTTTTCTGTTTTAAAAATGCTGCAGTGGTGCTTCAGTGTAGATGCTACAGCTTTGCTGACAGGAGAGGTTCTCCCATTGGCACAGGTAATCGACCTTCTCAAGAATCCTTCCATCAACTTAGCCCTGTCTGCATGGGGGGTTCGGCTAGCATAGCCACGTGTGTCAGCGGTGTGGATTTTTGGCACCCTAACTCATGTAGCTATGCTGATATAAATTGTGATCATACACCAGCCCTAAGATGCCTGAGTAATTCATCACTGACCTGTCGGGAAAGGGGAGAGTCTTGTGACTCCCCCAAAATTATAAATAAACTAGCGACCCAATAAGCATCACCTATGCACTGAGGGTACTTGTTAGTGAAACAGATGATCGGTTAGAAAGTCCAATATGAAATTTTGGTTGTGTACATCAGAGGTTCTAATCAATCGTCTGCTTCATTAACTAGTCCCCTCTTTTGACCATAGGTGAAGCGCAGTGTGTCAGTCTTGAATGTTAAATGTAGAATGCATCTGGAAGATCACTGCTGTTGGCCACTTTGCAGAACTGCTGCCTTTTATGCTGAAAAGCAAAGTGAAATACAAAACTACGCAGGACAAGTTCTGCAACCTCTCCACTTGCAAAATATGTCGGCTCCATGTGGAACAGAACTAGCTGCTGTATATTTCAGCCACTGATTTCTTTGAATCAGTTTAATCAAATTGTCAAGTGTCATTTACCTACAAATTTGGCTTTCTGCATTAAACCAGTTAGTGCTGTCATCGTGCAGTGTGGTGCCAAGAGCCCCGATGAGCTTGAGGAAATAGAATTGCTAGTATCTGGCAGACAGGTTTCAGCAGAACTACTACTACTGGTTTGTGGTAGAGAAGATGGGTATCAGTTAAACCATTTGAAAAGGTTTTACGTTTCAAATGTAAACTAATAGTATGCTGCAAGACGACTGTCTATATAGAGTAGTTCTTGTCACCTGGATGCGGAGAAAAAGTCATGGTATATTTTACCTCATGTCTTTTGTACCAGGTTAATATGTTGCTTTGTGTCCCGTGACCTGGAGAATTTACTCATGTCATCATCTTAAATTAACAGCTACAAGTAGAGCTTTTACAGCAGTTTTCATTTAGTGTGTTCTACAATCCCAGTACAGGCACCCTTAACTGAGAACACTTAGTATTAATGAGTGAGCTAGCTTTCAGCAGTGGAGAGAATACATAGTACTTAAATATTTCCCTTGATGCTTTTACCTGTCAGGCTGAAGTAGTCCATTGGGTTACTTTCATGAATACTTACTAGTAACATGCAGCACCAAAAATGTATGAAAATATATCATCTTTAACTTAGCTGAATCTTTTTATTGCACCAGGGTCTAGGGATAACTAGCTTCCGAACTGGACATTTCCAAGGGACAAAAATGGTGCAAAGGTGATAATGTATACTTTCACTTTTAATTTTCTTCACTTTATGCCGTTCAGAGATTTGAAGGACTGGGGTCCTCTGTTTGAAGGGCAGGAGTTAGGGGAAAGAAGTCACGACACTTTCCATGTTAAGATTCAGCATCAAGACTAAGTTGAAAGAATAGTCAGTCGAGTGTGTTAAACTCCAATGTGTTTTGGAAAAGTTACTTCACTGCTGCTTTATGCTGTGTGCAGATTTTCTTTCCTATTGCCATTTATTCAGCTACTGGCATGTAAATCAGTCTGAGGTCTGGGACAAGGATCCCCTTACAGAGAAACTAGGGATGTAATAGTGTAGTCGATTAACCAATAAGCAAAAGCTTGTAGGTTAATGTTATAGATTACATGCATTTCCCTCCGCCCTCTGCCAGTACATTTTTTAGCAGGCTGGCCAGCAGCCCAGCTCAGTCCTAGTTTCTGATGGGTCTGGGACCTACACCTGCTGCGGCTCTGCATTTAAAGTGTATTTGTAGTCAGGCAGGCAACCTGGATCAGCTGGCTTGTGCCAGGTCCAGGATCTCAGACCCCCTTCCCCTCCCTGACAGGGGCTGCTGCTGCCACCCCATGCTGCTGACTCACCGGCTCCCCTCACAGATCAGCTCCTGCCTGGTACCCCATGCTGCTGCCTCTGATACAGAAGCAACAGTGTGGAGTGGCAGGAAGCTCCTCAGAAGTGGCTGATGTGCACTGGCATTTGGCCCCACCCCATAGCACTATAAAATAGGTAACTAAGAATACATCAGGTTATTCAACGTGTCAGTTAATGGATATTTAACCTTTATTTAAAAGTGCAAGTCCAAAGTTACTTAACAATGAGATTTAGAAGAGTCCTGGCTGCTTTTGGGGGTTTGAGCACATGGCCTTGTCAATTGTTCTGTTAGGCAGTTGTCCTATGCAAAAGGTCAGATAAGTAGAAACTGGTGTAACTAGCATGGGCTGTAGTTAGGCAAAATAGTGTTTAGAAGTATGCGGGGCAATGTTACCATATGAATTTGTGGAGGAGGGGGTTGAGCTTCAGGGTTCCCCTCTTGCCCCGCTCTCTCTAAAGGGTGGGAGGCTTGGAACTGCAGCAGTCCCAGGTTGGTGGGGGAGGGAGGACACGCCCCTAGCCAGCCCTTTTCACCTGCTTGCTGATGTGTGTCGTATGCTTTTATGAGAAACAATCCCATTCCAGGCATATCCTGTTTCCCCAGCACAACCAAACTCTGAACGTGCTTAAGTTATGATCAGAGGAAGCTGCATCCCAAATTTGGTGTCCTAGCTTTTACAATTTAGGAATTCTTGAATGGACGGACGGACAGACAGACAAACTCAAATCTATAGTAGATTTAATTAGCAAAAAAATTGTGGGGTTAGACAGATTTCATGGTCTTGAGTAGAAGAAAAATCCATAAAACTTTTAATGTATATTAAAGTATGGAATTTCCCTAAACTAAGTAAATGCCCATGTATGGTAGGACATGGTGAGAACTTCACTTTGCCTTCCACATCTGGCTGGTTTTGATATCAGGTTTCAATATTTGCAGATCTTGGTTAACGAGGGGAAGTAATTCCCCTTTTTTGAACAAGGTTTCATTGTGCTTGAGAACTAATGTTGAGAGTTACTTCTGGTGAATGGTATTTATGTGAGGCCGGGGTACAGAGAGGGAGACCGAATTCTAATGTGCGTTTCAAATGTTCTAACAATTCATGTTTTTCCTATCCTATAGGTGTGCCATTATCCACACAGTGGGGACCTCAAGGCTATTTCTACCCAATCCAGATTGCACAATATGGGCTAAGTCATTACAGTAAAAATCTGACTGAGAAACCACCCCACGTAGAAGTGTATGAAACAGCTGAAGACAAGGACAAAAACAGCAGACCTGTTGATTGGACTGTATCAAAAGGCTGTTCTGTTTCGACAGTACCTGATAAATCCAGGTTCACTAATGTTAAACAGTTTGTCGCACCAGGTGTGTTAAACCACATCCATCACAGATAAGCCATTTGTCTTAATTTGTGCAGATGTTACCAAGGGAGTACTTAAACACGTCTTTTCTGTCTGTGAGTCTTTTTTTTTTTTTTTTCCCTTCTGACTTGTCTCTTGACTTTGTAACTAACTCTGAAGTGAACAGAAACTGAATTATGGAAGAGATTTTACTGAACAGGTAACAGAGAAGCTCCAGATGAAATTCTGCAGCCTTTAGCAGCCATGCCTATCCTAGAAATAGGAGGAAGCAAACAACCTTGGAAACTGTCTGTAGGACAGGAAATGGGACAAAAATAAATACCGTAATCTTTGTGGTAATAGGAGTTCATGCAATATCCTCTTTATAGCCTTAACTTCATGTACTCCATCAGTGTTCCATTATCAATCTCTGCGTTGCCAGACTTTTCATTAGAATATAAATTTTTGTGTTGTGCTGAAACATGGCGTACAAGTTTTACTGCTGTACTTAATTTGTCAGTTCAGGCCTTCCTAAGTCTGAGGGAAGTTGGACTACATGTGGCTTCATTTTTTAATATTCTCTTGTGCTGTAGCAGTACTGCAGATTCCTGCAGCAAGGGTTATCCCTTATGGTAGGTTTAGCAGACTTTGTAAATTACAGTACCCTTTCAGTTCAAAACTGATGTGCTGCCGTTTAAATGGAGGAAATCAAGGATGTGTAATTCTGCATCCTACCATCTGTTTCTTTGTACGTGAGCTTTCATGCGCAGGATGGCTGTGTACTCAGGCCCACGATGCTCAAGAATTCTTATTTTGGCCCAGATCCTAAGGGATCTAGCACAGTTGCTTTATGCTCCATTGCTGATCCTAACACTCCAAATAGCTGGTCATTGAAGGGCTGTCCTAGCATAAGACGTATCCCTCCTAGTGGCTTTCTGCTGCCAGTATAAGGGGGTATGGTTGGGGGAAGTAACTAGGCCTTCCTTATGGCCTGATGAACCCAGCTACCATATCAGTCCCTTGGGATTACGGATGGCTGATGTAATGCCAAATAGCTTTCAGGCTGCTGTAAGGGACACCCAGCTACAGCTAGCCTAGGTGCCTAGGTGGGGCGCCAAAGGCTACCTTCCTAGCTGCGCTGTTTGCCTCTTGGTTATAGCCAGTGTTCTGAGCCTTTGTTCTTACCCAGGCCTGTGAGTTTTCCTGGTCGGTATGTAGCTAGCGGTTACGACACCATGTGTCTCTGGCTCCTTTCTCCATTCCCAGTATTTTTAAATGTTTGTATTTCCTCTTGAGTTGTCATGTTCTGTTTCATACTTAACAAAACAAATCACGGATCAAACAAAATGCATTATGTTATGCAACATTTTCCCCTTGTGCTAAGACTGCCTCATTAGTAAGGACTGAATGTATTTTTCTCCCTAATCAATACCCATTAGAATTAATGAGTCCATTACTTAAAAAGACAATGAAGTAATTTTAGTCAGCACCTTAGTCCTGGGTCTCTAAGGAAAAAGTTGTCAGGACGCTCGTGTCTTTGTAGTAGATAAGGAGAGGAAAGGTTATAAGATCTCTTATGTATTCTCCCCTCATCCTTTATTGATGGCAGAGTAATCTTCAGACCTTGAAGGCCACAGTACGAAGCCACTCATCTTAGATGGCCTTAAGTAATGGATTTATAGGTGCTTAATGCAGTGCAAGTAATGGGCAGCCTTTACGTTTTTATTTGATTCTTAACGTTTTGCATCTCTTCCCATAGGATCTTGTATGAGAGCAAGCAAAAGGAATAAGTAGAAATGATAGGTGGGGACACTCAGATTTTAATATTTATTGTTTTTAAATTTTTTTTTTTTTTTTTAACAACATTTTGTTGGTAGCATTTGAGTTAGATGGTCATTCACAGAAAGAAGAGCACTAGGGTAACACAACATTGCTATTTCTCTACTCCAAGGTTCAGAACTCTTTTAAAAAAAAAAAAAAAAAAACTAAAGTTTTATTTAAAAAAAAAAAAATCAGTCCGAGAACAGGGATGGTAGAATTGTACAGTGCAGAAGGTGAAATGACAGCTTTGGTGCAAAGTATAAGGAATTATTTTGAGGAAAGGCTCATGTTCTTGCAGGAATAAGGGCCAGATCGCAGTTACACCCTAAAATATTTCTAGGTGTATTTCACACTGCGAGGAGACAAACAATCAATCACATTTCACACGTGAGAACTTAATTCCATTAAAACCATTGATTTTAAATGACTATCTTGAAATGTTTATCAAACCTCTGCGCCTTCAAAACTACACGATATGTTCAGCCTTACAAACTAATTAGCTCTTTTGGGCATTACTACAATTTTGGAGGGGATTTGGTTTTATACTTAAAAGCTAGCATTTGAGGAATGAAGATTTCCTTATTGCTTTAGAGCCTTATTGTTAACCTATCTTTTTAAAAAACAGACAGCACTGAGTTTTGCCCTTGTAGAAGCTAATAAATTATTTTGTGTTCATTTTTCCGCTAAATTGATCCGTTTCCTGGTATTGGAACTGTCAAGCAGGCAGAAATTCGACTAATAGATTTTAACTTTAGTCCCACTGATATCTGACTACCTGTTTCTATCTCAGCGCTCCAAGCTGTTTTGCTCAATGTGACTCTAGTCTGAAATGTGACTAAAAATGGCATCGCTGTGGCTCCAGCTTTCTCTCAATTTCCATTTCAAATCATTTTAGTTTGCAACTGGAAAGAGTCCTTTTCAAATAAGCTCAGTAAAATCTCTGCAAATCAAGTGGGGTCCTTTTCTTCTGGTGCAGATGTACTGCAGGCCCAGTTAGGTCTTCAGTTATGCTTGTGTAGGTAGGGTTGCCAGGTGTCCGGTATTGACCCAGACAGTCCGGTATTTTCGCCTCCTGTCCGGTAAAAAAAAAAAAAAATTCAGAGAACACCGGACACCTAAATTGTCTGGTATTTTCTGATTTC